TGGAGACCATGCGAACATAAACGACCTGTTGGTAGACCGCAGATGAGATGGAAAGATGACATCAAAAAGCAGGCGGTAGAAAACTGAATACTAACAACCCAGAATAGAACTAAGTGGAAAGATTTGTAGGAGGCCTACATCAAATTGGTTGAATAAGGCTTGAAATGATGATGATGATGATGATGATGCTGCAGAATATTATAATACCTACAGTAGACATGTAAAATGTATAAAAACTTTATAATTAATGAATCTTTAAGAATTTTATGACAAAAAAGTATGTAGGTACGTAAGTAGATAAACAATAATATGACGACTGTCGTAATGACTGCATGAATTAATTTCTTGATTGTGATGAAGTTACCAGATGTTGTAAGCACTAACTACAGTACACACCTGTCTATTAAGCTATAACGCACTTGCTTTAATACACATACATACACAGTTTATGTACTCGAAGACTTAGTAGGAATATTGGGAGTTGGTCGTGTGTCGGGCAAAGATGGTTTCTCTTATAAAAGTGTTGTCTCCCGTCAGATTTTTCGTCTGTATTGTCAGTGACGACATAGATATAAGAGAATAAGATAATAAGAATAAGAAGTAATATAAGATATATATACATACGTATACGATAATCAAGGCCCAAGCTAGCCACGTCGTGCAGCACTTCTTCTACTGACTTTTATCAAGCCTAGATCTACATCAATTTGTGAATTTGTGACCTCATGTGATGACGACACCGTACCTGATTGATTAGTCTAATTACCTATTTAGAGAATTCGTAGTTCATTATTTAGAGAGCACAATGTTGACAGTTGCTCATAACACGACGGTGGTTTTAATTAACTTAATGGATGAATACCGACGTAAATAACTGTGAGTTCATGAATAATAGTCAATGCTAGACATCATCATACTACTAGTACGTTTTATTGATTAAGTAACTAGCTATTCAACTAGATTGTTTAAAGAAATAGTAGATTATGTTCTAGAACTAAATTAAATTAACTTACTGTCTATTTCAATCATTTGATAGGACTGTTTTCCAATATTCCTTGATGGTGACAACATGCAACTAAAATTGTGATTGTCATCGACTATGAAACATATGTATTCGCAGTTTGAGGACACCCAGTCGGTATACTTTTTTTGTCTACATGATGATGTTTTTGCAAAACAAAATATGTACCTAGTTAGTATTGTTACTTACTTAACATCACGCCTTTCATCCCCAAAGGGGTAGGCAGAGGTGCACATAACGGCAATTAATGCCACTGTGAAATGTAACACCCACTTTTCACTATTTATGTTACGAGTCCTATGTAGTAGGGGGTGAGCCTATTGCCATATACAGCACAGTTCCAGACTCCATGCTACTACTGAGAATTAATTTAAAAACCCAGTTATACTTTGCCCGACCCAGGAATCGAACTTGCGACTACTCGGCCAAAGAGGCAGTCTTGTTCCGGATAATACCGTTCCCGTTAGTGTGTAGCAAGACCAGCTTCCACCCACAACCTTGGCAAGTAAAAAGATTTGACAAAGGTCGAAGGGTAATAGATGAAGGCCACTTCCAAGCAGCCGATCTGAAAGATAAGATCTGGAGATGTCTATATTCAGCAGCGGCTGCCTTATTATAGTTACTAATTGATGGAATAGATTTCATTTTATTCGGGCCGACGATCGAACTCACATTAACACTAGAGTTTTGTGTTTGCCTACCAGACACAATAAATACTAAACCTTGTACTAGTAAGAATGTAATAAGTAATTTAATTTGAAGGATTAGATTTCTTCTGATTAGAAGTAGGTTATAAATACAAGTTTTAAGTCAAGCTGGTGTAGATATCCGTAAGGGTTTTTTAATATCACTTAAGATTTTGCCACCATTGTTACCCAGATTGTAGTCTACCTAGTATTATTGTATTATTTTATGTGCGGAAACATAACTATGATTACTTTGTTTTGTGATTTCTTGAATTGCGAAGTTACTGCAGAATACTGCTAGTATAGCGGTAGATTTCTCTAATAAAAATCTGTTAACGCCTTTAGTTTTTTATCCAGTCATAAGACTTTGAGAACACAGAATTTATCACCTACTTCAGTACTATTTTACCAGTGACCAGAAGTGTCTCGAATGTAGTTGGCAAACCTAGTTGCGACTGACTGTCGTAATCGAACCGATCAAGAGAACATTATTATTATTTTTTGTATAGGTCTTTGCACTCATGATAACATCTGGCTTGGTGTCTATAATACGAGGTCTACATAGAAATACATCATTAATTTATAGACACCAAAACTTGTTTGCAGACTTCTAGCTGCGTATGAAAATATTTGGGACTAGAGTAAGCAACTGTTCGGATAATCCTTTTTTTTTCTTTTTTTTTTGGCGTTATTATTAAAAGTTGAAAATTCGAACGCTTTGTATTTAATGACGTCGAATATTGTAGATGTATCGTTGTAAACAGAATTACTTACCTAATTAAACACGTTAGACCGGTTCAACGCAATTGTGGAAGTTGGAAGTACTCATTATTATTACTTTAATATAAATAGGACCAAGCAAACACTTTCATATCTTGATTCAGCCTGTTCATAACTGGAAAAGTTTATAATGAAGAGCAAAATTTCCTTCTAAGAGTATGTCTGGTACTTAATTAAGAATTAGAGTGCCCGGTGGTCGATCTTAATAAAGCGTCATTAAAGGAGTTCATGTTCATTTATCGATTGATATATCAGACTGAGAGGTCGGTCACGTTCCTTGCTCAGTTACAGTCTTTATTACCACTGAAAGGACCAATGTAAGAAAGTACTGACAGGAAAACAGTTATTTTGAAAATGATATCTTACAGATTGCCCGTGAAAATATGAACTGAAATTACGTAGCAGGTGCTGATGGTTTCGTGTGGCAAAAATGTGACGAATTCAATGCAAATATTGTAAGTATTGAATCGTCAGCCCGTGTGGAAAAGACACGATATACTTACATTCATTTTTCACGGAGCGGTAATGTGATGTCATCGTTTAGTATTCATTTAGCATTAATAATCACCGGCATTTTTTGTGTTGTTTTGATCAGATCTAAAGTAAAAAGGTATTATCAATGGTTACCCTTCTACAGTTCCAGCAATGGCATTGAAACTACATAAAAAATAAAGTTATCAAGTAATCGCCGTATATTTCTGTAAAAGTAGGGCATTGCAAATGTATTATGATAGGTAAGTATGTATGTATGTGTGTAAGTGTGTATGGTGTCATGAGCCATTACCAATACTAAGGTCAGTGACTTTATTATCTGGTTTGTCCACCTTGCCAACTTACTGTTCGCCTACCGCTTACAACTTCGTGGTTTAGTTGCTCGTTGTTCAAACATACGCTTGTTTCAATTATGTTTAAAAAAATAAGCGCTGACGTAAAGAACATTTTAATGAAATAAATATTTAGAATAATAACGAACAATTCTATGATGGCTGGAATTATTTGGTATAACTAAATGCAGTAGTAAACTTATGTGTTTCCTTGCTCGCCTCTTTGATGTCTGTGGTTAGTTGTTCTATATTCCACCCTTCTCGGAGTTGATTTGTGGAAGAGTTGATTTCTCGCACTTCTGCTCATACAATGAACGAGGTTTTGTTTATACTTATTCATAGAACACCTAAATAAATCACCATAACTGCAGTACTTCCAATTTAAGACTATGCTATAATGTAGGTAAAGTTGAAAATCAATTGACGTTTTGGAAAAACTAAAACATTTTAAACATTCTGACATCAGTACCGGGGGCACGTCGGCGTCGGGGTCTATTTGCATAATAAGCAGACAATACTTGATCGTATGATACACTTGACTTATTACTTAACCTTGTCAAGCGATGGAATTGCGACTGCAAAACCACTACTCAGTTGGGTGGCTGAACTGCATCCCAGTAATAAGACTCCATTGACAAGAAATTGAGAGGAGAAAGAAGTCACCGAGCAAAATGTAGTACAAAATGAATCAAATAGGTATCGTTTTAAATCGTATGATAGCTATTTTGAAGGTTAAAGTGCATCTTGTCGCGAAGTAGCACCTCGCTAATGTATTTATTTATACACACTTAGGTACTTATATAGATACATATACTTAGCTATACGTAGTGTGACGGTGTCGGTACATAATTATATACTTACTACGTTATCGCTAGTCGTTAACAATGTAATTATCAGACGCCGACTGTGCCTGCGACTTAGTTATTCATTCACATTCAAAATGACACGAAGAAAATCATGCATGTTTAGGTCCTTCTATTCCACCCTTCCATAATGCATTCATATTTCCTATATTTCCTAAGAAATAGGAAGCTACTGATTTGACCTGAGAAGATAATCTCTTTACCTCTTAGAGCTACCATTCCCGTTATAAAGTAGGTAGGCAGTTTCCTGAAGGGTAGGTATCTACAACCTGAAGTCTCGAGTGAATAGGTTGTTTATAAGTAGGCGTGCTCCATGGTCGGCCACAGAGGAATATTAAAACCTCTTTTATTATACATTTCTATGTAGGTCGGCCACACCTTCGCCTACCACCAGGCGGGTTACTCGCCAAATGCTGGCCTATTAAGCTAAAAAAATGGTGGTCTAATGAACATTTAAAAATCAGTCTAGGCACTGATTACCTTCATAACATGTAAGACTATTAAAGTAAGTAGACAGTGCTATCCTATTTTTTTTTTTTTTTTAAATCTTACATTTCTTATTCTCCACGGACTCTTGTCCGTGCCCTTGTCATTCCATTACATTTTCTTTTAATAATTTACAGTCAAAATTACTTGTTACAAAAATCTTACGTGCTACATTAACCACATTTTTTTTTTCACAAAGAAGGTTGTGTCTAAATCTAATATCTATTTTTAACGATCAGAAGATTTAAAAAAACAATATGGGATGTAGTTACATTTTATTAGATTACGCGAATACAATTTCAAATTAAACTTATCAACCGATGTTTATTTAAATAGGAACAAAATAACAATAACTTAATATGAAAATAATAGCATTGAGAATTTAGATAATTAAAAATGAAAAATATAAGTCTCACAGAACTTGACCGATTTTCCCGCTCCGAATGACAGCTGACAAAAATGGCCGAGTGCGGGTTGTCCCGCGCTTTTTATAGTAAGTTCAAGATGGCGTATTGGTCATCTCTAACACGGCCTCTCCTGACGCTGAGTCGCCCTCGACTCAGTTCGTTTCTGGGCTCGTCTTCAATGGGTTGTCCTGAGAAGACGTCATCGCCGCCACTTCGTCCAGCTCGGGCATGGATAGTCTACCCGCCGCACGGTCGCTGCTGCCAGGGTGACCTGGATTGTCATCAGAGTCGTTGGTTTCATTATCTGAAAAATCACACATGTTATTATTCTCGTGTTGAGGCATTTCGGATAAATCGGATGAAACCAGATCGTTAAAGCAAAAATATAGGGCGGTTGGCATCCCCACAATCCTATATTAATGCAATATACTTAACCACAACTTGTTCTAACCAACACCATTGTGAGGCGACAAGCGTCATTGATGTGCGACTAACGCATTAAAGTTGGGCGACAAACGCCATTGAGGGGACGCACCCCCGCTCCAGGGATACACAAAGCTAGTGAGCTTCGTGTGCACATCTGGAACAGAGTTTAAAAGCGGGTTAAGGAGTAACTTACTCTCAAAGAACGAAGCACAGGTCTCGGGGCACCATTCTCCCTTCCAGGGTACCATATGTTGGGAGGCTGCCTGCGTAGTCTTTCCACAGCTCCCGCCGAGTAACCTGAGCTCGTATCGGCCGTTGGGCAGAACCTTGGTGACCTTGTACGGCCCTCGCATTCCCGGGTCCAATTTGCCTGTTGACTGCGAGTATTTTATAACGAAAGCCAGATCATCCACCTTATATTCACGTGGCGGGCGTCTCGACTTATTTACGGTTTGATCCTGGTGTTCTTGGTTCTTCTTCAAGAGCTCGCTGGCACGATTCCTGCTGATCTCCCGAAGAGCTTCTCTGTTGACCTCTGGTGCGTTTACTGCTAGGTCCCGAACCAAAGAACGTATGATGGGTGTAGTAGCATCGGTGCCGATCATCAACTTGATGGCTGAAGTCTGCGTTGTTTTTTGCTTAGTGATATTGAGCACCAGCTGTAGTTTCCAGAGAGTGTTGGACCAGGAAGCGTTTCTGTGCCCTACTTCGATGCGGAGCATGTTGAGCACCGTCCTTATGTAACGCTCCACTTGACCATTAGAGCTATGCATTTCAGGCGTGATATAGTGTAACTCGGAGCCAAGTTCGATTATCCACTGGGCGAAATCAGCGGACTCTAACATTCTACCCCTATCAGTGACTAGCATCTTAGGGACGCCGAACAGGGAGATGGCAGAGGTCATTACGCGTTTTAACTCGCTGGTGTCCTGGCGATAAATCGAAAAGAGGAGACAAAATTTTGTAAATGCGTCAACCAGTACTAATACGAATTTAAACCCTTCTGATTCGGGTAATGGTCCCAAGGCATCAACATGAACGGTACTAAATGGGACATCAGGTTTGGGCCATGACGATATGTTTTGTAACGGGGCTCGAGGGACACGCTTTTTAGAAACGCACACTAAACAGTGAGAAATATACTTGGAAACGAATTGGCGTAGTCCAGGAAACCAAAAATGTTTCAAGATAAGGTTCACGGTTTTATCGCGATCGATGTGCTCATGTTCGTCGTGGAATATCCTGAGCAGGCTTAAACGATGACCCTTTGGTATAAAACAAAGTAATCGTGGTACCTCGCCGAGAGGAGTGTACTTGTAGTACAGAAGGTCGCCTCTAACGGTATATCGGGAAGAGTCAAATTGTCCTTCTGAGACTTTTTGAATTAGTTCTCTCGTCTCGTTATCTGCAGCTTGTGCTATCTGGGCCCAATTACGAGGTCTCGTAATTTGGTTGACCTGAACAATAGGATTGCGACTGAGGTAGTCGGCGTGGGGTAGCATAATACCCTTTCTATATTCGATGGAAAAGTTAAAATCCTGTAGGTAGATCCACCAACGGGCAACGCGAGGAAGCAAATCCTTCTTACGTTCGGTCGATTTGAGAGCATTGCAGTCAGTAACGACCTTGAAGTGCAGACCTATTAAATAATGGCGAAAGTGTTGCAAGGCCTTTACGACGGCTAATGTCTCCAACTCGTAGCTGTGGTATTTACTTTCGGCCCCCTGTGTGACTTTGCTAAAATATGCTACCACATGCCTTCCACCATCAGCATGAATTTGCAAGAGCACTGCTCCATACCCGGCAGAGCTTGCATCGGTGTGAACCTCGGTCGGAAGTTCGGGTTTAAAAATTGTGAGGACAGGCTCATTCGTGAGGCATTGTATCAGGTCTTGACGGACCTGTTCCTGCTCCGGACCCCATCGGAATTCGACCCCTTTCCTAGTTAAGAGAGCGATGCACGCAGTTTTGGTGGCATAACCCTTAATATATTTCCGGAAATAGCCAGCTAGGCCCAGTAGTTGCCTGACCTGCCTGACATTACCGGGTACAGGTGAATTTTTCAAGGCCTCAATTTTACGCGGGCTTGGCCGTACCTGACCAAAGCTGATCACCCTGCCTAAATACTCTACTTCAGACGTCAAGAACGAACATTTCTTTAAGTTAATTGAGAAACCCGCTTTTGTTAGTGTTTCTAATATTTTCCTGAGCAACAAAATGCCGTCTTCAACTGAGTTACTAAGCAGGAGCACGTCATCTATGTACACTAGTACATTACCCGCTTCAATAAATTCGCGAAGGGTTTGGTTTATGATACGCTGGTATACGATCGGGGAGTTCGTTAAGCCGTATGGCATTTTGAGGTACTCGTAATGGCCCTCTGGCGTTACGAATCCCGTTACGTGCACCGAGCTCTCGCTAATCCGTATTTGGTGGAACCCGGTTGCCATATCGAGACTACTGAAATAAGTGTAATGTCCTAGTCTGTCAATGTGATCGTCTATTAGGGGGAGAGGGTACCTCTCCTTTTCGGTGATGCGATTGAGTGCTCGATAGTCGACGCACATTCGGTCGGTCCCGTCTTTTTTCTTTACTAGAATTATAGGGCTGGCATATTCTGACCGTGACTCTCTGATGATTCCTTTTTCTAACAAATCCTTCACTATCTCACGAACTTTAAGTTTCTCGTCAAAAGAAAGTTTATACGGGCGGTATACTATCGGAGTAGTGCTAGTGAGTCTAATGACCATCTCGCCTGTGGTGACTGTACTTGTCGCGGTACCAGAAATAAAGTATTCCGAAAAGTCTTGAATAACGGTCATCAGAGAATTACGTGGAGCGCCATGTACCTGAGTGTTGACTAGTGTTTGGTCAAAAACATGGGTCACGTTGGCACAAGTACGAGAATTAGTTCGTGTTATGTACTGTTTGTCCTTTGTGCGTACGTACATAACGCCATCGCGGTTTAGGACGTCAGTCCCGATAATAATCGAGGTGTTCATGCATGACTCAGGAACTACGACTAAATCAGCTTCTAATGAAATGTCACTTAATTCGATGGTTGCTGTTATGAAAGAGGTGGCAATAATTTCTTGTTCGCTTATACCCTTTAGGATGCAATGCACGGGTTTCAAATCGCAAGAAAGGTATTTTAAGACGTCAGAAGAAATCAACGATACGTTCTGGGCCCCACTATCAATGAGCACATCCATCGGGATGCCTTGAACTACGGCTGTAACTACGTCTCTCTTACTACTTTCATGGTCTACACACAAGTTGACGTTTCGTTGATTCCTGTATTCTGAACGATTCTTGGCAAAGCAATTGTCCTCGGCGTGACCACTCTTTTTACAAAACGAACATACAATCCCGGGCTTAGGGTTGGAAGTTTGCGTTGCGTGCTTGGCGGTGGAATTCTGTGTTTCGGGCCTAGTTGAAGCGTCTGTTATGCGGGGTTTCTTGTTGCATTTACGACTTGAGTGGCCGCGTTTACCGCAAATGTAACACTTTATGTCGTTGGCGGGAAAATGTTGGGGCAACCGCTTCTTACCTGAGCTATCGCGAGTTTCAGCTTTAGTGCGGTTTGCTTTCGTGTATATAGAGAGAAACGAAACCAAGTCTTCCACCGACAAGTTTGCATTTGCTGCCGTTGCCCTAACTTGGGGGTTGTCTATGCCGCGAATAACAATAAGGGTGCGCAGTTCGTCGGTTAAGCCTTTGACTATACGCAACCGTAACAAAGTACGCCGGGCGTATTCAGCATACGTCGGGTATTTGTCCGATGTCGTACTCATCGTATCGAAAAGTATATTAGCGTAGTCCAACTTCCGAGGGCATAGAGGCTTGAATTCAATTTTAAAATTCGACCAGGTTCGGTCATTGGTTACCCACTCAGTTAACCACACTTTGGCATCACCTTTGAGACAAGAAGCTACTCTAGATAGACATTCGTAATCGCTCCAACCGTTCGCAGATACCGCTCGATCTACTTCCTCGCACCATGTGTCGATGTCATGTATACTCGGGTCAAAGTTAGAAACGTAGTAATTTCGAGACCTTACGGGTTGTAACGATTTAATAGCGTCTGCGAGCATAGTTATGGCTGATGGGGCATCCGAACCACGAACAATTGGATCGGGAGTACGAATGGTTGTTGATAAACCCTCGGAGTTGTGCACGCGAGTTCGTTGCGGAACAGCGGTCAAGTCTATCGGACTACCAGGACGCGGGGTGACCTCATGCACAGGGTTATTTAAAGTAGTTGAATTTTGATTGACGTTTTGCAATGAGTTATTCAAAGTATTAGCACGTTCTATGGCGTTAAGTCTCGTCATGATGTCACTGAGAGTACTGTGTAATGCATTATCACTGCCACGTGGTGAATGCCCAGGACGCGGGTAATTTTCACGTAAACTCAAGCGAGACGATCTAGATCGGGGATGGTGACGGTCGCGATTATGCGCGCGGTCATTACGCGGGGTGTGCGGAGATTCATCACTCACGGACCCGTTTCGGGAATTGTGCGAACGATTACGTGACCTACTTCGCAATGGAAGATGACAAGACCGCCTAGGCATAGTTATTATTTAAGCACTCACTGAATACGCACAATGAAAACACACAACAAGTAACCACACGTCAATACCAAAAATATATTAGTAGTAATCGTTATTTTGTTCCTTGATTTATAACAAATGAGTGAGCAGTGTAATTCTTTATCCCACTTCTGATTTTAACGATCAGAAGATTTAAAAAAACAATATGGGATGTAGTTACATTTTATTAGATTACGCGAATACAATTTCAAATTAAACTTATCAACCGATGTTTATTTAAATAGGAACAAAATAACAATAACTTAATATGAAAATAATAGCATTGAGAATTTAGATAATTAAAAATGAAAAATATAAGTCTCACAGAACTTGACCGATTTTCCCGCTCCGAATGACAGCTGACAAAAA